GCCTTGGAGGGAGATGGCTTTTTAACAGAATTTGCTGCAGCTTTTTCTTCTTCAGCACCAGAATCCTGAGAGGTTTGGAGAAAGTTTGGTTTTTTCTAACTCTGTGTGCAGCATTCTTTTTAAGCAAAGGTTATTTATTGTATTTATTATTTATTATTATTATTCAGTTTGTGAAAGGAAACTGGTTTGCCAGGGAAGTGGAATTGTTCGGGGTAAGAGCTGTTCTTAAAGAGTTGTGCTCATTCCCTTCTGAATTTATTCATTACAGAAAAGAAAATGCTGAGGGAGGGGAGCTTCAGGCAGGGATGGATGGGATTTTGGGAAGGAATTGTTCCCTGGGAGGGTGGGGAAGGACTGGGATGGAATTCCCAGAGCAGCTGTGGCTGCCCCTGGATCCCTGGCAGTGCCCAAGGCCAGGCTGGATGGATCTTGGAGCACCCTGGGATAGTGGGAGGTGTCCAGGGGTGGAATGGGTGAATTTTAATCCCTTCCAACTCAAACTGCCCTACAATTCTGTTAAATGTGCCCCTGTTCTCTAACAAAAGCTGATTATTCCTCCTTTCCTGCCTCCATCCTTCAGCTGAATTTCACTCCAAAGCCAGAGCACAATCAATATTTTCTATTTCTGGGCCCTGCATTTCTCAGAGCATCAGCCCAGAGAGGAAATGACTTTCAGCACATTCTGAACCCCACTCACGGGCTGGGACTTGGGGACAACCACAACTTTACACTGCCAGAATCCGCAGCACAACTCCCAAATTCAGCTTTTCTGAACTCTCCAAGTGGCATTTTTGGGCACAGCAGCAGTTTGGGTGTGCTCAGACTCTCCTGACTCCCAGCCTGAGGGGGAACACGTTCAGAGCACAGAAATGTGGGATGTTCACCTTGTTTTCTTGGACCTTGGTTGGGGTCGTGGTGTTGCTCTTGTTTTCTCTCTGCTGACGGCGTCTAGCTGCCTCTTGTTCCTCCTGGGGGAAAAATGACACATTTGGTCATTTCATTGTGGATTTGGCATTTTTGGACACAGATTTCTCACTTTCCCTGCTTAGATCTCCACAGAAAAAGGGGAAAAGTTCCCTTTTGCCCCAGGTCACACTCAGGTGAGAGCAGCTCCTTCTCACTGCATTCCTCACCTCCAAGGGGGATTCAATCCCAAATTCTTCCCATATTCTCCTCTCCCAATCCCCCACTGACACCACAGTATCAGTGGTACTTTCAGATTTCATTTGGATTATTATTATTATTTATTAATATTATTATTATCATTATAATTATTATTACTATTACTATCATAATTATCATTATTATCAATGTTATCATTATTATTAAAATAATCTTATTGTTACATTTTACATTTCTATTTTATATAAGTTTTCTAGAAATGTAATCTATATTTTATCTGATTTTTACATAAATACATAGTAAAAATAATAGTGCTTATTATAATGGTAATAATGATAATAACAATTGCGATAAAATGATAATAATTATTATTGTGATACAATAATAATAATCATCATTATCAATATTATTATTAATTTGAAAATAATATTGTTAAATGTTATATTTATATTTTATATAGATTTTCCACACATGTAATATATTTTAATATAGGTTATCTATAAATATATGATAAAATAATAGTGCTTATTATAATAATTATAATGATTGTGATAAAATTATCAATATTATCATTATTAATTTTAAAATAATATTATTGTTAAATTTTATAACTATATTTTGTATAATTTTTCTACAAATGTAATATCTATTTTATCTAAATTTTCTATAAATATATAACAAGCTTAATAGTGCTTATTATAATGATAATAACAATAATAATCATGATAAAATTATTATTGTGATATAATAATTATTATCAATATTATCATTATTATTAATTTTAAAATATAATTGTTAAAATTTATATTTATATTTTAAGTCTTTTCTATAACTGTAATATATATTTAATCTAAATTTTCTATATATGTATAATAAAATTAATAGTGCTCTTATAATTATAATGGTTATAATATTGATTATGATAAAATAATAATAATGATACAGTAGTAATAATAATAACAACAAGAATAATATATTTCAGTATCTTCCCTACATCCCCAACATTTTGTGGTGCCACTTTCAAAATCTCCCACGACAGGAAAAGGCAAAGCCATTCATCATCACCTCATTCCATTCCA